GAGGTAATATTTTGTCTTGAAGTTTTTGATGCAACATACAAATAATCGGCCTTAGCTGCAAAAAAGTCTTCTTCAGTAAACACATTTCCATCAAATGGATATATTTCACATTTATTAAACCCTGACTAACTGTTTTGAACAGTTGCAGCTTTTCCATAAGCTATTCCGAATAATTCACTAACCTCTAATTCAGTTACAGGACAACCTGAATAGTGACAAAGCCAAGTACCAACTTCTTGAACATAGAATATTTTAAGGCTTTTAAAAAATGAAACAAAATGGTTGCAGTTTGTGCGTGCAGTGAGACGGAAGTGATAATATAATAACAATTGTCTCGCGAGCTTTTATAATAATACTAAGATTTTTTTTATGACTTGAATATCCATCTAAAATTAGAAGAACAGGAAGGTTTCTTGACTGTGGTTGGACTGCTTGTAAAAAAGGATTAGTCCATTTTTCAAATAAATCAGTTGTTATCCACCCATTTTTTCTGCCACCAGAAATGGAGGGACAAAAATTCCTCTTGCTGATTGGCAATAAACTGTTATGACGTTTTTTCCTTTTTTGGAGCTTGTTAAGCCACCAACACTATGTTTTCCCTTCAGTCAACTACTTTTCCTGGTTTATTGCATATAGACAATCCAGATTTGCCTACGTTGAAAAGGTTTTATCTGTGTGTGTGTGTGTGTGTGTGTGTGTGTGTGTGTGTGTGTGTGTGTGTGTGTGTGTATACATAAGCTCTTGTAAATTCTGAGTCTAATTAAATATTCAGCCTTTTGAATACCATTTCAATTTTTAATCATGTGGCGGAGATTGTCACGTTTTGTAAGAAATAGAAAGATCAATCAAAAGTGACTTTTTAAAGATATTGTACACCTCGTTAATACTTTCAATTAACCAATTTCAAAATTTTACTAAATATATGGTTTTGCTTTATTTTCATTAAAAGTAGTGTTGACTCAAGCTTTTTTAAAATTTTTAGTTCAGCTAACTGTAAAAATATAAATATTTGCAAAAATGGCATTTAAATTTTATTGCTTTGGCCATGTTAACCGGTCGAAGATTTATTGCAAAGTTTTTACTTTTTTAGCTACGAAAAAAAAACATTGCAGTACACAACGTTTTACTTATGTCTTACTGCAAAAAAATATGTACCTTTTTCATGCTTTTTTTTTACTGTAATTTTTATCTTCGTATTTACTAGTATGTATTTTTTATACCTATAAGTTATTTAGTTTAATATAAATCAAAAAAAAAAAGTAGGGCTGAGAAAGAACGTGTTATCTGAATTAAAGTTCATTAGCCACTGTGAGATCCATGCTTTAGAAGAAGTGAGATCCTTTTCAAACGCAAATGCACCCTTCAAGCTATACCCAGTGGGCACAGACAGAAAAAAGACGTCTTTTAAACGTCTTATACACTTTTTAGACGTCTTTTGAACGTTTTTTGAACGTTTTGGACGTCTTTTGGACGTTCAAAACACGTCTTTTTAGGTCCGGTGCCCACTAAGTAAGTGAGTCTTGGCTTCTTATTATGACAAAAAAAAAAACAATTCCATCTTAAATGTGAAAATATCTGGAAAATTGTTAATGTAAAGTAAAAAGAGTACAGGGCCAAGGATTGAACCTTGAGGAATCCCAGAAGTTACAGGATATGAAGAAGAGTGCTGTCCATCGACGACAACTTTTTTACTACGATTGGAAGGTAAGGACTCAATAATTTTAAAGATGTTACCAGATACATTGTAAGAAGAAAGCTTATGGGGAAGACCAGCATGCCAAACTTTATCAAAAACTTTAGAATTGTAAAGAGCAACGGCCTTAAACTCTCAACTTTTATCTTATGCATGATAAAACCTATTAGTTATTACTGTTTGCAAATCAGCTGTAGAACGAGAAGAAGGAAATTCGTATTGATGATCAGAAAGTAAGTTATTAGATTCAAGATTAGATATTAAGTGTTTGTTAATTAAAGATTCAAAAGCCTTGCTTATGATAGGAAAAAGCTTAATGGGACGGTAATTAGACAAATCAGATCGCTCTCCAAAATTTTTAAATATAGGGATAACAGATGCAGCTTTCCAGCAGGCTGGAAAACGAGATCCTGATAGGCACCTGTTAAATACTTTTGAAATTATAAACGACGGCTCCGGAGAACACTTCTGCAAGACTTTACCAGATATGTTGTCCGGGCCACAAGTTGCAGAAGAGTCTATATAGGAAATCTTTTTAGATACAGAAGCTGGAGTGATATAAATATAAAGCAATGGATCAACCTGTTTGACGGCTAAATCAGGTAGAACGCAACTAGTGGAACCAAGAAATGATATTGATGAAAAGTTTTTAGCAAATAGTTCAACTTTATCTTTAGGTGAGGTGACAAAGTCTGAACCATTTAAGAGAGGTGGAATAACAGATTTGCCATTATTATTGATACTATTAAAGGTTCTCCAGAAGTCGAAAAAGACTAATTTTTGCGACGCAATACGAAATTTCATGACCTGAAAATAGCGGGTTTTAGCGTTAGACAATACCTTTTTGGAATGGTTTCTTGCAGTAATAAACGTCTATTTTCTGGAGAACTGTTTTGCTGATAACTATGTAAGTAACGGTTTCGATTAGAAACTGTAGCAGTATAATGTGAGGTAAACCATTGAGAACAGTGAGGCTTAACCTGGAAATATTGAGAGGGAAAAAAAGATTCCATGAATTCTGCCTGAATCCACAATATTGTGTAAGAAGCACATTTGTCAACAGGAAGACGAAAGATTTCTAACTAAGGGCCATCACGAAAATCACGGATAGAATTTCAGTTAGCTTTAAGGTTGTCGTAAGCGGTGCGATAATAGGGAGATTTAGATGATCATGAAGAATGAGATAATAGTTTTATAGAGATCAAACTGTGATCAAAAGCATCTAAAAGTGAATGTAAAAAAACTGAGCACTGACTAGGATTAGAAACAAGACATATGTCGAGTAGAGAAAGTAAATGATTTGGGTAGTTTGGAAAGCGAGTTGGAAAGTTGACTATTTGAGTTAGGGATTCAGAAAGGCAAAAGTTATATGCTTTTACGATTGAAGAGTCACTGACACTAGAGCCAAACCATTTTGTGTGATGAGCATTAAAGCCACCACAAACAACGTTATTGACTGTTGGATAAAGAGAGAGAGCAATTGGGTCAGTAATAACATCAAAAACAGTGCAGGTTTGACATGAAGGAGAGTAGTATAAAACAAAGAGAAAGGTGATAGATTAAAGTGGTGCTAAACGAATGTACATAAAAGAATGTTTTTTGAATTCAAACCTAGTTTCTCGACAAATGGGTGAATTCTTACAAATGTAATGCTCAGGCCAAGCATGTGATTATTGGAGTCTTTACAATATAGGAAAACAATCATGAAACTATTATCACAAGATGAGAAAGATGAGCCCAAATTAGTCTTACAAAAAGCAAGTAGGTCTGAATAAACGTTGCAAGAGATTAGACTCAACAGAAAAAAATAACTTCGAAGACCACGCATATTAGTGAATGATAGATGTAAAGAACTTGGTGATGACGATGGCTTTTTTGTGTTTTTGGTACTTTATTCATTTTTAATTTTTTAAAGAACTTGACTCAAAGCATAATTAGTACTTAGTACACTGTTTAATAGATCAAGCAATTCATCATTACTATTAATTAACCCTAAGCCGTAACGAAGGGCTCCAAATGTGGCCTTGACAATGCACACCAAAAGTACAAGCAGAGACACCATACATGCGCAACATGGCACTGTTAATACTTTGATATTTTTCAGCTGTTAATGGAATCAACTTTTTTGAGAGCTACCACAGAGTTCGAGAAACCTGACTACCAGCCGGTCACAGCACCATAAAACTGAGTTTTAGAGTTGTGCCCTCTTTAGGAGATAATAAATTGCCTAATCATAAAAACAGAGACACAAGCAAAACCCATGCATCGAGTCAAGAAGATCCAGCATTCAAAATCCTAAACTGGAAATAATGTATTAAAAATACATATGCGCTAGCCTAATAGATAAAGAAGGGGTGCAAGGCTGGTCAACAGATAGAATCTGTTTGCCTCTTAAGTCTTTGCCAAGGAGGTCTTCTACAAGACAGTACCCGGATGCATTTAACACCTGCCCGAGACGAGTATTTTTATCAAGACACCATCTCCAGTCTTTACTCAACCAAGAACCCCAAGGCAGGGGATGTTTTAAGTCGGAGTTGGTTTCTCCTAGCCTTTGCCTAAAAATTAACTTTTCCTAAATTTTCGTATCCTACATTATTCTACATTAAATTACCAAGTTGATTGTAAATTGTCTAAAAGAAGAAACTTATGTGTTTAAATTATCTATTTTAACATTAAATAAAGGACTTAAACAAGCTGACAAAATCAAATTTTTTATTGTTGTAATGTTGCATTTTTAAGAGGTTCAAGATTTCGAAAGAAGCCATTTGTAAACTATATTATGGTATCATTTTATTTTATCTTATATTATTTATTAGTATTTATAGGTTAAATTTTATTGTGTTACGCTTATACTTCAACACTCGCAGTTAAAATACAAGTTTACTCAAACATTTTATATTATTTGTATTTGTACGGTAAATTCTATTGTGTTACGCTCATACTTTAACTTTCGCAGTTAAAATACGAATTCACTCAAACATCTTATTTGTTAATAATCCGTCGACTAGACTTTTAACTACCTGATTGACGTAAAAAGAAACAAAAATATATAACTTGCAAAATAGACATTTTTTTATTAGTTTTGATAGCAAGCGCTGATAGTTTTGATAACCTCTTGAACGTTAAATTTTTTTTTTTTGCAAACAAATATTTGTCGCTAAATGAAATGAAATTGTGTTAAAGTGAAAAAAAATTATAATTTTTATTTAAAGTGCGTTGGTTTACCCTATATTATTTTAATTAGAATTAACAGACAAACAGATTTTTATTTGGTGAATGAAAGGTTTATTGCTTGTAGAACAAATTAAGTTTTATTATATTATGTTATTGACAAATGTAAGTAACACGTTGTCTAATTGCTGAACGTAAACGTTGTAACGACGCAAAAGATAAAGTCTATATAAAACGACTTAATAATATGAAAGAATTTCTCTTTTAAACATGATGAAACGGAAATTATTTCAATGTCATCAAGTAATAACAATTCAATAGGTTAAATTATACGCCATGGTAGTAAAAAAAAAACTTCATTTTAAACGAGGATTAAACTTTTTTTGTAATTCAAATATGTTTTTAAACTAGAAGCAATAAATGTTGGTAACGTTCTAATTTATTATCGAACAAAAACTAACAAAATAAAAAAAATAAAAAAAGTGTATGGAATCCAAACGTGGCAGGATGAAAGGTAATTTTCCTTTTTACAAGCAATATTTGTAAGTGTAATATAAACAAAACTATGATGAGAATGCAGAAATATAGGTTATCATATTTATATAAAAATATATTGTAAACAATGGCGCAATAAATATTTATAAAATTTTTTTGAATATGAATTTTATTTTATTTATTTGTATGCAAAGATGATGCTGCACCAATAAAGGTTAATTATATAAATATATGATATCGGTAGTTACGTGGCAATTGGTTGCAATTTTTGCGTTTTTGAAAGATTTTAAAAACACAATTTTGGCGTTTTCATTTTTTAATAGTCAGAATAAAGAGAATAAAAAAAGATAAAAACTTATTGACACCTAGAAGTATTGTTTTCATCAACAAGGCAAAAAAAAAATAAAAACTTTAAATACATCCAATGCCATTATAATGCGATACAACCTATAGTCACTATAATGCGATACAACTTTTTGCAATAAAACTAGCGAAATGTTATATTGACTGAAGATAAGACTTTAAAATGTTTTATGTTTTTTGGTTTATGAAACCTTTAGGTATTGCCCAAACTTTGAGTTTAAGCACGTTCATACTTATGTCAAATCAGAATGTTTTGCAAAATTTGCGGTGATTGGAGTTTGAATAAATTGCGATGATTGAAGAAAAAATAGCCCCCACCCCAAATGTGAGGGCAATAATTTGTTAAAATATATATTTTTTAGTGTATAATACTAAGTTCATCATTACCTTATTAATTAATTAAGTTTATAGATAAACTTATATAAATTTTTTTAATAATTGGTTAGAAAGTCATGATTATTTAACTTATAACCCCCTCATTTTGAAACGGGGAAATTTTATTATTGACATTGGACTTTTAAACGTTAAAACGCTCTAACCACTCATTTGTGGTAAGAGGGCTAATTTTTCGAGTACCACAATTTTTCAAAACATTTTCATTTGACACAATCATATATATATTTGTATTAGGAGTTTTTACAATGTTTGAAAGTGTCACATTTATCTTATTTTCAAAAAGTCGAATAATTTGCATAGTATGATTAAAAACAAAGCAGTTCATCACTTTGTGATTACTGCTTTGTTTTTAATCATACTATGCAAATTATTCAACTTTTTGAAAATAAGATAAATGTGAAAATAAAAAAATAAAAAAAAATAAATTTCAAGAAACGAAAGCTTGTGATGAACTGCTTTGTTTCGAATCATACTATTCGAAACAAAGCAGTTCACCACAAAGCTTTCGTTTCTTGAAATTTATTTTTGAATAAATGATTTAGATAAAATGATTGCTATTGATTATTATAATTAATTGATTAAAAAATTGATTATTATTAAGACTTAAAAAAAAAGATTAATACTTTAAGCTAACATAGCCGCTAAAAAATGATTGGTTGTCTTCAGCTCAGACGTTTGGTTTGGGTTGTCTTCAGCTCAGACGTTAAAAATATGATTTACTCAGATGATTGACCTATATGTTTTGAAACTATGCATAATTTGGTTTGTAGAAATAAAAGTTTTTTTTGAAATCAACAATAATAATTAAACGCGTGATCATTATAATAAAAAATAATAGTTATCAATTATAATTTTATGCGTGGTCATTTTTATATACGCAAGCAACGATATCGATTCAATATTTGCAAATATTGTTTTCTCAATTAGTTAATAATCACTAAAACAGTATGACGTCATAATCTGTAAATGCTAGGAATATTGAAATGTAACTGCTAGTAATATTTGCATATTTAAGAACTGCTGCGAATATTGAAATGTAAAATGCTGGTAGTATTTGTATGTTTAAAAATGCAATCAATTCCTTGATTTTCGATAAACACCTAAAATACAAATAGATAAAAGCCATTTGTTTGAATTATAAAATATATTTGTTTGTTATGTACATTGTTTTATTACATACTTAGGGGCACACTGTTATTGTTCGACTATTTTGACCTGTCTGTCTTTTAGAACATGCATTTTTGTTCTAATAAATCTTATCTTATCTCTTTTTTAAAAAAAAATTCATGAAAAAATAGAAAAAAATTTAAAGAAGAGTATTTAAGTAACACATATTTTTTCTTGACTTTTATACCATGATCTAGACATGTGTTTTTAAAAAGTATATATATATATATGAGTTAAAAATACAATTAACAGATTAAAAAAAAAAAAAAGAAATCAAAACGCTTAATTATTATTTATTTATTTTTTTTTCAGCAGGTTTAGAATCTAAGTAAAAAAATTTAATGCACACTCTAATTCAACAAATTAGAAATAAGCAATTTCCAAAAATTTATTCCTCAAAAAAATATGATATTAAAACCATTCGATATATATCACATCTTAGCATTAAACTCTTTGGAATCTTTTTTATCAGCTATTTAAGAAATCGATAATAGGCCGGGTGAATATAAAAAAGCAATTGCTCACAAACAGTTGCTCTGGTTAAAAGTTAAAAAACAAATGCTCATGACTGGGGCTGCCAATTTGAACTTTTTTAAAAAAGTTCGAACTTGAACACTTTCGAACTATTGAGGAAAAAAGTTCGAACTTTTTAAAATAGTTTTTATTCATTTAAAATTGAAAACAAAAGGATACAACTAAAACACAAAACTGTTATTTTATTCATAAAGACTTTTTATTTGTTTATAAAAAGTAAATGCAAGGTATCATTCTGCAAACAGTTTCTTTTTTTATGCGAAAACAATCCAAGGCTAGAGAACCCTTTCACAAGATCATACCATTTGAAATTCATATATTTTATTAAAACATTTTCGGTTCTTTAGCTAGAGTCAATTCTTTGATCTAATTTCTAATATCGTTGCCATTTTCGGCTTTTTTATTAATATCTCTCAAACTGCGATAATCTTTAAATAAGATTAACTTGAAATATTATCTAAATTATTTCTTTTTATTTTGTTCTCATACTGATTACCTTGATTTAAAATAATTGAGTTTAACAAATATATTATTTTTATGTACTAAGTTATTATTTTATTAATTAAATTTTTATTGATGTTAATTTTTATTACATTTGAGAACCTCTATTTTTTGTTTATTTTTAAGTGTCTTGTAATAGTGCGTGTTGAGGCACATTTTGTTTGTTGCAGCTTTTGGCAACAAATGAAAATACTTCTAAACTTCAGATCTTCTAGATGTACTAACGCTGAGTAGCCATTTTTTGTTTGAACTTAAAACTCTTTATAATTATAATTTTAAACGTAGATAAACAGTGGTCAAATGGTGAAAAAGAACCAGCAAATGTTTAATTACTTTTAAATAGGAAAAAAAACGATCCTACCTTAAATGCGATGGCGCTACAGGTGTAATTTTGATTATATTTTTAGAGTTTCCAGACAAACAGAAAACAAAAAACAAAACAAAAACTCAAATTTATAAATTTTACCTAAATTTCAGCTTGTTTTACAAATTAATGAAAAGACATACCATTTTTTATAAATTATAAGTTCGAACTATTAGGAGAAAAAAGCTCAAACTTGAACGTTGAAATTTTTGCGAAAAAGTTCGAACGTTCGAACTTGAACGTGTTCGAACTTGCAGTCCTACTCAAGAAAAAAGCAGTTGCTCAAAAGCAAATGAATAAAGTTTTGCTTTTGTTCAATAGCAATTGCTACCACTATGGAATAAATGCCGCTACCAATAGAAATTGCTTGTTTTACTTATATATTTAAAAATGACTGCTTTTAGCGTAAACTAGATTAATTAAGTCAAAAATAGTGAAATAAAGTTGCAAAATAATAAAATCCTGTCTAATTATCAAAGATAAAATCTGTTTACAATACTGAAGTACTCATTTTCTTTTGTACCTGTGTTTACGAAAAAAATCTTAACTTTTTTCCTTAACACTGGTACAAAATGGGTACTTCAGTATTGTAAAAACACAGTATGAAACAAAATGATTCTTAATTTTTTTGTTCGGTAAAAAAACGATTCGAAACAACAGTTATCATTTTACACCAAACCAAAGTTCCGAATGGATACGAGCAAACGCAGGGGGCTTATTGTTCAAAGCTCACTATCCTACTACTATCATAAGTTTTGTCTAATTTTTACTACCATGTACTGAAAATAACAATTCTGAATTTTTGTTTTTTTAGAGAGTTAGTTATTAGTTAGAGCATACGTCATTCCCATTACTTTAGTGTCGTATAGAGAGCGACACAATAATGGGAATGACGGTATTAACGGACTTGGTAATACCATGGTAACGGTATTAAGTGTTAAAAATGATAGTTAAGAAACACTAAATATATAACCCACATTATGAAATTATTTCTGCATAGCTTAAAATACTACCTTATTTTTGTATGCTTTGAGCAAATGTTAGTCATGTGCTGCAGTGAAACCATGGGCAGTTTTAATTTATGAATTAATAAAAAAATTTTAAAAAACAAATTTTTATATAATTTATTATTCGGATGTGGTGTACTGGTTGGTCATTAAACAAGACATATGTTTTACCCATATTCTTGTTTAGAAGTTGGCAAAACTTAACTAATTGAATAAACAATCAAGAAAATACTCTATTTTTTATCGCCTTTATATAATATTACTCTTATTAAAAGATATCGCTGACTGCCATTTTGGCCAGACGATTTATGGCTGTTCATAAATTTTTTAAAAACAACGAGGTTCTTTAATTTAGGTTTAAGTTAAATGTTTCTTATTATATAGTTTAATAATACAATAATCAGAAAAAAAAGAGTAAAAATTATAAAAAGATGCAAAAAAAAACTATTTTGCAAACGTACTGATAAATCTTTTTGCGAACCGATTTTGCAGCTGTCTTACCACTGAAAATCAAAGTGCGATAATTACTTTAAACTTTAAGTAAACTTGTAAAAAACAACGACAAACAGAAAAACAAATTTATTAAATTAAAAAATTCAATTAAAAATCTAAATATAAATTTTTTATTTTTATTTTTTGAAGAATTTTAAGATTACAGGGTCTACAAATGTCATCATTTATCTTAAA